AGAGGGCTGAGAAGGAGAGGCAGGAAGAAGAGAAAGCGAAGAAGCAGGAGAAAGCCAAACAAAAGGATGAGGAAGAGAGGGCTGAGAAGCAGAGGCAGGAAGAAGAGAAAGCCAAACAGCAGGAGGAGGAAGAAAAGGCCGAGAAGGAAAGGCAGAAGCAAAAGAAACCCAAGAACCAGAAGGAGGAGGAGGAGGCAGAGAGAGCTGAGAAGGAGGAGGAGAAGAAAGAGGAGAAGAGTGACAGTGACATGGGCGACGATGAGGATGTCGACTTTGACCGACTCATGGATGAGCTTATGGCCTTGCCTGACAGTTGTGAAGCTGAAGCAAGGGATGAAGCAGAAGAAGAGAATGAAGAAGGGTCAATGGAGGAGGAGGAAGAGGATCAGGATGATGAGGAGGAGGACAAAGGGCAGGAAGATGAGGAGGACAAATGGCAGGAAGATGGCGAAGAGATTTTGGATGAAGAAGAAGATGATGGTCAAGATGAACTTGAGGAGGGTGACTCCGACTCTGAAGAAGGTCCTGCGAAGGAACTCCACCCTGAAAGTAGTTCTTTGGATAGCGACGAAGAACTCTCCAGCGAATGCGCCTCCTCTGAAGAAGACGAGGAAGCCAGTGAAGATCAAACCGAAGCGCCTGTCCCAGCTGATGGTGCTGATGATGGGTCCGAGCCGAAACTACTGAATAGCAACCTGCCAGATAAGATAAAAGGTTTCTATTTGCCTTTCCCTCAAAAAACGGTCCTCTCATTTCTTCTTTGGATGAACCTACGCACTACTTCCCATCTAAGGTGTGACCAACAAGGCTGACTGGGAGAAGTTTGGGCGCGAATGCAGCAACAGGAAGAAGTTTCCGGTCAAATTGACTGAGCACTTGCAAAGGAACAAGAATGACCTTTTCAACCTATGGATGTCTTGTGGCAAGTCCTTGGACAGGTGGCCTGGATAGAGGTGGCCAGCTTTTGTTTTCTTTCCCAGTCCACTGATCTCACCACAACAAACCTCAAGGGCCCATAGAACTTTGCTTTTACCTTCTCATCAGCCAAGGGTTGCTGTAGAAGTTGAGCGCCGAGTGGAAAACGTCAACCGCTTTCGCTCTGGGCGTGAGGGCATGAAAGCGAGGGACATCCGCAGCAAGTACCCAGAGCCCAAGGCAACTCAGCTCATTGAGATGCTTCGCAAGAAGAACATGTGGTACTGGGATGAAGATTTCCCTGAGGATGAAGAGGAGCCCTAGCTACTGGCTCATTTCCCAAAAGGTTTCTGTTTTGAAAATAAAGTGGGGAGCCCTTTTCTTACCAAAGGTTTGTTTCAGGGTTTGCCCTGCAGGAGATCTACTACTACTGTGGCCGCGCCAAGCGAGTGGACGTCGACAACATCACGTCAGAAAGGATGTCTTTGCGTGCTAAGGGCCGACCCGATCAGGAGACCCTGGCAACCCTCACCGGTGATCATGGGCCTCTCAATGCTGGCGCTCTTCCTGCCGCTGACTCTGCCCACCCTGACGGTGAGAAGAGTCTGTGGGAGGCAATGACCAAGCGGGATGTGGCAAAGCCCAAACCCCGCCCCAAGGAGAAAGACCCAGCAGCAGAGGTGGTCGTGCCCAAGACTCTGAAAGAGACCCTGGGCTTTTGCACCGGTACCCTTTTTTCACCTTTTTCTCAAAAGAAGAAAGTATCCCAAGCTTGTCCTCTCTGCTTCATATCACACTGACCCTAAGGATGGCTTCAGATTCAATGGGCGAGGCTTTGGGTAGGGGAGCTGAAGCTCGGAAGATGGCTTTGTCTTTGAAGCATGTCACATATGGCGGTGAGCTCCACAGCAAGCTCATGGAGTTTTCCAATACCATGGAGACTCTATACCATCAGTTTCATGAGCTTGGCAGCAAGGGGCGCTTTGATGAACCCAAAGCCAAACAGCTCATTGCCAAAACGGCCGACCACTTGAAATGGTGGGAGAAAGCGAAGGTGGGGCCTCTCAAAAAGGGTTTTGCTTTTTAAAGGGGTCCAAACACATGCGCGCGTACTTATATGAACATGTTTGCAATCCACCCTGCCCTGGCCAGGTTGCTGGCAGGGCTATGACCAATGGCTTGTCCAGCAAGTCTAAAGCCAAGGCGAAGGGGAAGGCCAAAGCGAAAGGGGGGAAACCTTCAGCGGCTGGGTCTGCTGAGGGTGGCGCTGACAAGTCAAAGACTTCTTGATCAGCTTCAGCTTTGTGGTTTGTGACAGCGAGGGGTATCGCGTGTCACCATGTTCAAGATCAGCAAGAGCGAACCGGAAAATGACTGTCATTTTGCGGAGGGATTTGATTTGAGTTTGCGCAAGCCTCCAACCCACATCCCTCATCCCAACCACTCTTCCCCTGTCTCATTGCCCCTGCGTCATTGCCTCCTGCCAGGCGCTCCACCAAAAGCTCTCAGGTGCCTGTGCCGGTTCTCAGAGTGATTCTTCCAAGTTTGTGGGGCGCAGGACCTTCAAGCGAAGCCGCTATGAGAACTACGAACATAGTCATCAAGCTGAGCATTTCATCCGACACTTGGGACTAACGTGTGGTTTTCAAAGAGGTTGCTCAAAAAAGGGGGGAAGGGTTAAATCACAAGAGTGTTTGCGCCAGGAATGATCGGATCTGGAACTCATATCCACACAGTGGTTTCCATTGCCCAAGCCCAAGCGCGTGATGGCGACATTCCTATGGCCATTCGAGGATTTGCCTCGCTTGGATCATGTGGCAACCATGCTTCTAAAGAAGAAAGAGATTTACATACTTGGCTAAAAAACCTGCACAACATCCAGCTTGATGCTTATATCACAAGAATTGAATTAGAGGCTTGGTCAAGGATGTCAACTGATTTGTCGTTGCCTCAACCTCCCAATCAACATGTCTCACACCTTTCGTGACAGGTGGGCTACACCATGGAGGTTGAGGAAGTGTCAATCCCGGTCCTACTTCCCCACGAGATCTTCGACGCCCTTGCCCGAGCGGGGCATCACCAGGCCTTGCGAGTTCGTAGATCTTGACGTCCACCTTTGAGGGTAGAAAGGGTTGAAGTTCAAAGATATCTGCTCATGCCAGTTTGCCAAATCTATGCTTGGTGGGATGGGCAAGTCCGCCATTGCAGAGTTCTGGGAGCACTGTTTGAAGTGTCCGGCATGGGCATCGCATCCAGTTTTTGCAAACGACAATGTACCAAAAGACTGTTTTGCGCTCAGTGTTTCACAAGAACAGGAAAGGTAACCAAAAGCTAAGAATGAAACAGTCAGGGCTTCAAGGCCTTCGGGTTCCACCTAGGTGTTATTCCAATCACCATGCACTGTGATGGGGCGGAGTTTTTCCGGAACAACGAATACAACGTGTGGTCGATTGGCAGCCTTCTGGCTGCTGGCGATGTTCCCCATCATGCATTTTGCAAATCCATTGAACTAGTTGTTCACCCCTAAAAAGCTATGCTCTTGAGGTCTTCGATGTGAAATTCCCATGCGTTATCCTTCCGCATGAAGCTATGCGAAAGAAGAGTGCAACTTGCTGGTGAATGTTCTTTTGTCCATGTCCCATATCCCTTCAACCTTTGTCCGCTGTGCCTCCGGCAAGGTGAAGCACAAAGTGCATGCCGCTGTCGCCAACCTCCTGTCGTGGTCATTCTCTGTAGGGATGAGCGGCCAATTTCCGGAGAAGGGGTACCACGGGGAGGAGTTCAGCCCAAAGTCTTGGAGGTATGAGAGAAGGGGTCAACCGTTTGCAAACTCATGGAGGCTCCCTGGTTTGTTTCATTAGCGTTTCATTCATGGAGGCCCCTTTAGTTAGTTCACAAGTGTTCTTTTGTGACTACCACGGGTCAGGTTTGCCTATTGGGGTGCCCGATACGACGGCAAAGCCAGGGTCGAGTGCAATCGGTTTTCTCGCAACTACAACTCGACCTTCATTTGCGATCAATGCCTCGCCCAGAAACGGACCAAGAACGCGGACCCGAATATGCAGTATGAAGACTACAGGTTGGACCAACCCAGGCACTTGACCCGCATCAGTGATGAGGTGTACAGGGCTACATGTAGCACTTTGAGTCCATATGCCAAAATTCCAGGATGGAGGTTGGAGAATTGTTTGCACGATATACTCCATGTGGTTTTTCTGGGGGTTGCAAAAGACCTCATCCCCAGCATCCTCGCTGAGTGGCTTGAGAAAAGGATGCTAGGACCTGGAGATGTCAACACTTGTCTACGCCGGTTCAGCCTGGAAATGCACCAGGTCTTTCGCAGGGAAAAGATTCATAGCTGATATGAGAGCTGGGTTGATGATGGTTTTGGCTTGTACCGCATACCTTACCCACAAATTGTGTTTGTTGCGTACCGAGGATTTCAGTGCGCAGAATCTTCTTCACAGAGGTCAACACCGGCTTGGACAAACCCTCATCAGAGTATCCAGCGTTGGCCCGGTGCTGGAAAGCAGCTCATGTAAAGGTGATTTTGTGGTACATGGCAAAAAAAGCGGTTGAGTTTGCTGAGTTGAGCGGGGTCGCTCAACTGTGTTTAGTTGCTTAGTTGAATCTGTTTTGGTTTGTGCATTGTGTTTGAGAATGACCCTGCACCTGGGGTGGGGCCTTTTTGCTGGGTAAGGACCATCGCCTTCAAGGGGTTGCCTTGTGCGCGTGGAGCTTGCAACAAGCCATCCACAAGATGGACCACTGTGATATTATTTTGACCAAAGAGGAAGCCGAAGAGATTCGTGGGCTTCTGACCCAATATCTTTTGCACTGGCAGGGACTGTCCAACGAGTGCAAAGTTCTGAGTGTAAAGCGGTGGAAGAACCGGCCCAAACACCACTATCTCGAAGAGATAGGGCTCCACTGCGTACAAACCCAAATCAACCCGAGATTTACAGCTTGCTGGCAGGATGAAAGTTTCCTTGGCCACATCAAAAAAATAGCTGTTTCTTGCCATTCAAACACGGTGCTACTTCGGGTCATGCAGCGGCTAATCCTGAATTTAAGCTTGAGGTGGAAGGACACCCGAGAACACGCCAGGGAAGTTCTGTCCTGAAAAAAAGGAAAGCGGCCAACGACCATGCGCCAAGCACGGAAACGGTGATGAACCACGCCCTCCTCCAAACATGGTGTCTGTATGTTGTATTGTCAACGTTCTATTTGTACAATTAGTGTTTTTTTGCGAAACCGTTTTGGCTCAAGAATGCAGTCTACCCACCTGAACTTCAAGTGATGGTGGTTGTGCTGGGCTGCCCTTGTTAGAAATTATGCGGTGTGCTTTGGAATGGCATGCGCCCTGGTAGCGGAGCTGTCTATGCGCCTACACCTAAAAAATTGAGGCGGGCAGGGCCGACGAGTTCACCCAACTGACATGCAAGTCACAAGCTGCAGTAAATGCCGCACTGAAACACAACGAGACAATCAACCAGAAAATGTCCCTGTCTATTTGTCTAGTGACAACTTTATATCTGTTCAAAAGTGACACGCAGTGTATACTGCATGTCAATTTTGACTCTGGCTGTATACACGCCGGTTGTGCGCGCAGGCGACATACTTTCGCAGAC